GAAAGAAAGAAAGAAAGAAAGAAAGAAAGAAAGAAAGAAAGAAAGGATTTCCCTTGCAAGCTAAAGTGACAAATTTGGTTTTGGGGTTGTTAACGCATCAAGCTTGATAACAAGGCAGGGAGAAGCATTCAAATGAAGTGTAATAACAAAAAAGGAAGAAATAATGAAAGGGAAAAGTGACATCACCCGTTAAACAGGAGGTCTGGCTCGGGGCCACTTTTGGGACACTCAATCTGTGCCAAAAATACTGGATTTACCGCTCCCCACCACCACCTCAGCCTTGGAAAAAGATGAGAAACATCCTGTGCAGGCCTGTGCATATGGCCAGGACAGGAAATGTCCCAGTCACATTTGGCTCCCCAGGAACAAATCTGGAAGGATGAATTTTGGGGGGGAAGGGAGGGAGGGAGGGAAGTGGGGTTGAAAAGGACCCCTGGACTTATTTTTCAATTTAGGGCGATGCGATCATTTCCTGAACTATAAAGGAGAAAGCCACGGCGGTCCTTTCCTCCTCTCGGCCGCCCACAGGAAGGGAGCTGAGCCTGGTCCCGTCTCAAAGGAAGCCCAGAGTCATGTTCAACAAGTAGAAAACCCATGAGCCAACTTCCTCCTAACTCCTACCCCTCTGGGATGCTGGGAAGCCACGCCCTCTGCCTCAGAAGCCACGCCCCTTCATCCCTAAATCTGGGGATAAGAGGCTCATGGCTCCTGGACGTTCGTGCGGCTTTGTGCATCCGGATTCGGGGGCCAAGCAGAAGTTTTGACAATAATTAATTCCCAGAAAGCAAGAAAAAAAAAAGCAAGCGCAAAGAAGAGCAACTAAGACACTTGAAGGCCTGGAGAGTAAAACATGTGAAGAATGGTTGCAGGATTTGGGTTTGGCTGAATCTAGAGAAAAGAAGGACTAGGGCAGACATGATAGCAGGGTTCCTGTCAGTGGTGGGATTCAATTTTTTTTTTACTACCGGTTCTGTGGCCGTGGCTTGGTGGGCGTGGCAGGGGAAGGAGACTGTAAAATCTCTATAGTCAATTGCCAGTTTTCTGAACCACTCAAAATTTCCACTACCGGTCCTCCAGAACTGGTCAGAACCTGCTGAATACCACTTCTGGTTCCAGTATTTGAGGGGCTGCCACAAGAAGAGGGGATCAAATTATTTTCCAAAGCACCAGGAGGCAAAACTAGAAGCAAGGGATGGAAACTAATCAAAGAGGGAAGCAACCTGGAATTGAGGAGAAACTGCCTAACGGTGAAGACTATTAACCAGTGGAACAGCTTGACTCTGGAAGTGATGGATTCTCCATCACTGTAGGCTTTGAAGAAGAGACTGGACAGTCACTTGTCTAGAATGGTATAGGATCTTCTGCTTGAGCAAGAGGTTGGACTAGAAACCTCTGAGGTCTCTTCCAGCTTTCTATTCTATTCTGTTCTATGTTCCGTTATAGAATAGAAATGGAAATAGAAATAGAAATAATAGAAATAGAAAAAGAATAAACAGAGTTGGAAGGGGCTTTGGAGGTCTTCTAGTCCAATCCCCTGCCGAGGCAGGAAACCCTACACCACTTCAGACAAATGGTTAGCCAACATCTTTTTAAAAACTTCCAGTGGGTTGGAGCATTCACAATTCTGGAGGAAAGTTCATTAATTGTTCTAACTGTCAGGAAATTTCTCCTTAGTTCTATGGAATAATTCTATTCCATTCCATTCCAGGCAGTGTTCTACTCTACTCTACTCTACTCTACTCTACTCTACTCTACTCTACTCTACTCTACTCTACTCTACTCTATTCTATTCTATTTCTCTATTCTATTCAAGTCTAGTCTAGTTCTCTATTCTATTCTATTCTATTCTATTCTATTCTATTCTATTCTACTCTACTCTATTCTATTTCTCTAGTCTAGTCTAGTCTAGTCTAGTCTAGTCTAGTCTAGTTCTCTATTCCAGTGGCCCCCAACCTTTTTTGTGCCATGGCCCAGTACCGGCATCACAAAATGATCCGTGGCCCGGTACCGGCATCAGCACGCATAATAACGCAAGGCGAGCCGAGCGACCGGCCAGCCAGCCATCCCCCACTTCTCCCCGCCACCTTCAACTCCTCCTTTGTACCTTTGTCGAAGGGCTTCGCTTCGGGACAGCTTCAGGATGGTCGCTCGGCTTGCTTTGCCTTGGGTGCTGAAAGAATCCTTGCGCCTTAGTTTCGTTCGAAGCCCCCCCCCCTTCAGGACCCAAATGCCACTTTCCAACCGGAAAAGCTCACCCAGAAGCACTTTCTCGTCAAACAAGATGGCGGTGCCCAGCAAACCAGCGGCCCTGTAGGAAATGTTCCACGGACTGGTACCGGTCCGCGGCCCGGTTGTTGGGGACCCCTGCTTTATTCTATTCTATTCTCCTCTCCTCTATTCTATTTCTCTAGTCTAGTCTAGTCTAGTCTAGTCTAGTCTAGTCTAGTCTAGTTCTCTACTCTACTCCACTCCACTCCACTCCACTCCACTTCATTCCATTCCATTCCATTCCATTCCATTCCATTCTATTCTATTCTATTCTATTCTATTCTATTCTATTCTATTCTATTCTTCCCTCCCCGGCTCCGGAGGCTTTCCTCAACACTCCGGGAGGGCAAAAACAGCCCTGTGGAAGCCCAAATGGGCCCATTTCCGGCCATCCTGAACTTCCTGGAGGCCCGTTTTTTGCCCACCCTGAGTCTCTGTGCAGGCCCTTCACTTACCTGCATCCAAAACTGGGACTCCTAGGAGGGGAGGGGTGGGGTGGGCGGGGCCAGCCAGGAGCGGAGATTTGGGGGTTCTCCAAATTGCACAGAATCTTAGCTAGGGGCTCTCCCCAAACCCCTGCGAACCCCCAGCAGCCCAGCCCTGGTAAAAACCGCACAAGTCACTTTTTCCAGTGCTATTGTAACTTGGCACGGTCACTAAAAGCATATTTGTACAACGTGGACTGCCCGTATTCTAATCATCTTTACCTCAGAGTTTAAACCCTCTTGGACTAGGAAGACAAGGAGACAGGCCAGCCCAGGCATTCTTAGAGATGGTGCAGAATTTTGAGAAATAATGTTGAGAAATTCTGCAGAAATTGGCAGGGTCTTTGTTAAAGTCTCTTGCTCTTCGTTTCCCCCTCCCCCGCTCCCAGGAACTGTCCTGTGACAAAACAATTTCTGTTTATTTACAGCTTTATTAGTATTTATAGAGTCTGAAGATGATAAAATAAAGAGGTAGAGAAAACCCTCAAGTAATTTTGCATGACGATTATTCAGCTTCACTCCAACTTTCATCTCAGACTCGGATAAAGACGGACCCAAGGCCGGGAGACAGTGAGTTCTAATCCTGCCTTAGGCATGAAAGCATCTGGGTGACTTTGGGCCAATCACCAGGAGACGGTGAGTTCTAGTCCCATCTTAGGCATGAAAGCATCTGGGTGACTTTGGGCCAATCACCAGGAGACTGTGAGTTCTAGTTCTGCCTTAAACATGAAAGTGGGCTAGGTGACTTTGGGCCAATCACCAGGAGATATGAGTTCTAGTCCTGCCTTAGGCATGAAAGCATCTGGGTGACTTTGCACCAATCACCAGGTGACTGTGAATTCTAGTCCCCCCTTAGGCATGAAAGCACCTGGTGACTTTGCGCCAATCACCAGGAGACGTGAATTCTAGTCCCACCTTAGGCATGAAAGCACCTGGTGACTTTGCACCAATCACCAGGAGACTGTGAGTTCTAGTCCCACCTTAGGCATGAAGACTATATGGGCCAAATACTCTTTCAGCTGAATCGACCTCACAGGGTTATTGTTGTTGAATGGAAAATAGGAGGAGGACTGAATATTAGGTACGTTCATCACCTTTTGTTACTTATAAAGTACAAAAGGCAAGATAAAAATCCAATACATAAATAAATAAAAAATATGCTTGAGATTTAGGATGTAAAGCTCCTGCAAAAATACTTAAAACTTGGGGACATTGTGCGCGACATGAGCAATTGATGATGTCTCCAGAAGTATGAGTTGAGTAAATCCAGAAATTCAGGGAGTCCGCAATTATACAAAGCTCGCTGGTTTTAATCAGCTTGAGAGCAGGAGGGGCTCCTTTCACACAACTCATTAGCTTCATTTTCTAGGTTTGCACAATACTCAACTAACCAAATAGGCCGTGTTCCCAAATCAGGCTAAGCCACAAAAGGGAACCATCAAAGTTAACATTAATCAAGTTTCAACTGTTGCGCTAAGCAGCCACTAATATTGAACTGGTTAAATGTATTCTGTGAACGCTGCCAGTGACTGGGCTCTGGATTTGATCTAAACCATGGTTTATTCTATGAACAACTCAGTACAAAGTAGTTTATGACTATAAGTGGGACCGGAATTTCCATTGCAAGCTTTTGCAGTTTTAAGTCAAGTCAGGCAGAAGAGGAGACGAGAGAAGAGAAGAAGGAATACAGTAGAGTGGAGTGGAGTGGAGGAGAAGAGAAGGAATAGAGTAGAGTAGGGTAGGTTAGGATAGGATAGAATAAAAAATATGGAGTAGAATAGAATAGAAAAAGGAAGAGAAGAGGAGAGGAGAGGAGAGGAGGAGAGGAGAGGAGAGGAGAGGAGAGGAGAACAGAGCAGAACAGAACAGAATAGAACAGAATAGGAAAGAAGAGAAGAGAAGAGAAGAGAAGAGAAGAGAAGAGAAGAGAAGAG